CTAAAAATGACCGAGCAGTCAGTTCTGAAAAAGCCCGTTTTATATCTTTGGCCGTTTAGTGTGGCCACATTTTGAATACTATCAAGCGACGCCTCCGTTGTACCGTCGAAAGGACGTACAATGCGACCGAGCTCGTATTTTGCAGTCCTACAAAGCCTCTGCCTATTCCGTGCGCAAAGGATGCCTTCCTAGTGCAAGCCACTTCAAACTGCGTCTATGAATCAATATGCATATGCGGATGCAAGGGTGTTAGGCGAACGCATGGGTAATTGGCAGCCAGATCGATAGATCACCCGCCTAGATAATCCTGTGCTCATCCGTTACTAAACAGTTACTTGATACATGTCACTCTGTGGACTACAAATTATCCTTCCTAGTACTTGTTCGGGCACGAACGACTCTTACATTGCGCTACTTGGAGGCGGCTTGTATACTGCGATGTAAACCTGACCCATGTCAACAGTTGGAGCACGTGGCTATCCAGTTTTTGCCTTGGTAACGTCCAGCTGCTGGACTTACACTTCTCTCTTGCCTTTTTTCGTTAAATGTTTTCCCCCGTCTATGCTTCCTACGGTGTTTTAAGATTAGCTTTAAATAATGACCCACGCCAGAAGCAGAACAGGTCTGGAATCGATTTAAGCCTGGACCTCTGATAGAAATTCAGTCAATCGATTTATTGATCTGCCGACAGCATGCAGAGCCCTGCACAGTCACCTGAATAGTGTTTGACTGGCTTCTGTCTCCTATAGCAGTTTGAAAGCTCAGACCAATAAAGCCCTAATTCCGACGAAGAGCTTTCTCATTCCCTGCTTATGCAATATAACGTCCCAGCGTCTTTTCATGATCGACTAAGCAAGTCATATTTGCAGTCAAACCCCTGATGTGCTTTCCTCTCTGTGACACATAGGCCTGATCACGAGGCCACCGCACCCTTGGTGGTAATGCAGCGGCCCAAGTATCACCGTGGAAGCATTTACTGTGTTGCATGGAGCAACGATGGACGCGTGATTGCCACAGGCAGTAATGACACCTCTGTCAACCTCCTTCGCGTTGATCCCGAAACTGGTTGTTTTCCGTCAGCTTCCGACGCCACCACCAAGAAGACTGAGAACTTCATCCAGCTCACGCACCATGACGGCACTGTTCGGGATGTCGCCTTTATGGTAGGTATTTCGCTGTCATCTCCCGCTCTTTCCCCACCCCAATACCATTTAGCCGACGCGCTGAGTTTAAATAAAACGCCTACTTAAATCAGCCCAGTAGTACGCATACATAAACACTAACTTACCGTTTTTAGCTAAACTCGTACTCGAAGGGGAGTGAAGCCGTGGCCGGTGGTGGTACCGCGGGCCACCTCCTCACAGCTGGAGCTGGTGACTGTCGCATCTACGTCATCGACGTGGAACGTGCCAGTCTGTTGGCTCGAAGCTCTCTCTCCTCCAGTGGCGGTGATACTGGAACCAGCGGTGGTACCGCCCCCCTTCGCCTCAAGTCCTCCTCAGCTGCAGTTGTGCGTGCGCTCTCGGGCCATTCCGCTACTGTCTACGCGCTGACAGTCTGGGCACCGGGCTCCCTCTTTGTCTCTGGCAGCGCAGACGCAACCGCAAGACTGTGGGACATTCGAGCCCCGGCACCCGTCCTCATAATACCCTCTTACTCTGGCGCCCAGGGTACGTCTACTTCTAGTGTTTTTTCTTCTGCAAACAAGTTTCTATCGCTTTGCAAGGGCAGAGCAGCTTCTCCGTGGGCGGCTTCGTCGACTAAAGCCGCTAGGTATCGAGTGTTCATCAACACCGGCGTGATACCGTTCAGTAGACATGTCACCTGAACCTTATACTTCGGCTCCCGTTAAATGGGGAGGGTACTGATTATTCTGGGTATTTATCTACCCAAATCAGGCACTGAGGCTTCTCCAAAGCAGAGACAATTTTACCTACAAGGGTATTGTCCCACGCCAGATACCATGCCCCCTCACGGACACAATTACAAACGGTTTACAGGGAGCACTTAGGCTATCTTTGCTATGATCGAGTTGTTGGATCATGAGACTTTAAGCGGAGGCTGGATCGATATAGAAGTGCGTACTATTATAGCTGCTGCAAGCGCC